GGGGCACGGCCAGAAGGGATGGCACAGGGGATGCCGGGGGGCAAAGCCATGGGGCAAAGCCATGGGGCACTGCCGGGGCAGCCCCCGGTGATGCCCCCGCGCCTGCACCAGGGTACCGCTGCTTCAAGGCCATCATGTTCCTCTCGGGGCTGCTCTTCGGCTCCATTGTCATCTTCCTCCTGTGCTACAAGGAGCGGGTGCTGGAGACGCAGCTGAGCCTGGAGGCCAGCGCGGGCATCGCCCTGGGCATCGGGCTGCTCTGCGGCCTGGTCACCATGCTGCTGCGCAGCGTCGGGCTCTTCACCACCGGGCTGCTGCTGGGGCTGCTGCTGGCCACGGCCGCGCTAGTGGCGGCAGCGCCGGTGCTGCCGCCGCCGAGCCCTTGGGTGCCGGCGGGCAGCCTGCTGGGGCTGGCGTTGCTCTGCGCCCTCCTGGCGCTGCAGTGGCCGAAGGCGCTGACCGTCCTCTCCACCGCCGTCTTCGGCGCCGCCGTCGTCGTCGTCTGCGCCGACTACTTCGTGGAAGCGCTGGCGCTGGTGCTCTACGTCTACGACCGGCTGCGGCTGGCGCCGGCGGGGCCACTGTGCTGGCACAGCTGGGTGCTGCTGGGCGCTTGGCCGGCGCTCAGCCTCCTCGCCGTCCTGCTCCAGTGGAAGCTGACGGCCGACGGCGTCTCCCACACCGACGGTGAGTGGGGGTGCACGGAGGGGTACCCCCCCCTTCCCGGCCAGCTCGGGGTGAGGGGGTGTGCCGGGCGGTGGGAGCACCTGGCGGTGGGAGCGGGCAGCGGGGAGGGCGTGTGGGTGAGCGCAAGGGATGTGGGATGAGGAGGGTGAGGATGAGGAGGGGATGGCGATGGGGATGGGGACGGCCACGGGAGCAGTGATGGAGACAGCCGTGGCGATGGCGGTGCCGAAGGCAATGGGGACGGAGGCGTCACCGGGGATGGGGATGCAGGGCAGAGCTCAGTCCTCGCTCCCCGCAGTCATCCTCAGCCGGCGGCAGAAGCGGCTGCAGCTGCTACGCATCCGGCAGAAGGAGGCCAAGCGCCGGCAGAGCCTGGCCCCCCCCGAGGGCACCTACCGCCGCAAGCCCCCCCCCGTCAAGCGCTACGCGGGCGATGTGCTGGCCCCGGTGAGTCCGTGCCCCGGCGGGGCCGTGCCGGTGGCCGC